GTAGCGAGAAGTGCTGTGCGAGGTTCGGTGATGGTAGACTCGGTGAGGCTGAGTTTATTCTCCATCTCCAGGTTTATTTCTTCGGAGATCAGCCATCCAGAAAGCTGATTTAACGAAATATTGGTATTGTTCATGCGAATGTTTTGCTTAAAGGATGAGTATTCGGTGGGAAGACCACGAATAACAGCATTCACCACATCACGTTCAGGGATCTCTTCTTTCAAGGCATCGAGATCTGAGAGAATAGTTGCCACATCATCAAGGTATTGTGTCATAGTTTTGGTACCTTTACGAAGAGTGTGGAGTTTGTCCTGAAGCTGATAAACATGAGCGGTGGACACGGAGTTGTACCGTGCGGCCAAAGCATCCCAGAGGGCAGCAGATGTGGTGAAGCCGCGAGCATGTTTGTGAACGGAGGGGCTGATGACCGCTAGGAGGCAGGCGCGGATCTGTGTGTCAACGATGGTCCAGGAGATATACTCTGGATTAGGGACGGTTTTATCGTTTCTGGAGATAGTTGGCGCCGGGGCTGCTTCATGACCATCAATCCATCCAAGGATGAGATTAGCTGAAAGAGCTGTCTGGACATTGAGAGACCATGCCGGATAATTTGTTTCGGTGAGTTTTTCTGGGATTAAGTTGTGGAGACTTCGAAGCAAAAGTTTTACTCCGGAGGGTAAGGGCGCCAAAGGATCCGACGGGGCTGCCATGGTGGGCGGCGGTCGGAAAAAAAAGAGAGGCTAAGTTTTTGAGAGCCTTAGCTCCGATACCATGATACAATTTGATAATAACTTGTCTTATTGAATATTGAGAGATATGACTCTATATATAGGGAATACAAGAGTAATCAAAGTACAAGTAGGAAAAGAAAGAATAATCCTAGTAGGAAAGGAAAGAAGTATCCTAATTTAATTATACTTCCTAATATATATGTATATATGTATATATGTATGTATGTATGTATGTATGTATGTATGTATGTGTGTGTGTGTGTGTGTGTCTATACACACACACACACACACACACAAACACACATACATACATACTAGCATGGACACACACCTTGTGTGTGAGTGCCCAAACTTATTGTGTAATCAACATAATTTTTTTGATATATCATAAGCATAGTATTTCATCTAAAGGATACGGATAAGTTTACAAAATTTGAAGTGATCACTTGCACTTGTATGTGGCTAAGCTATGAGTTCTAACATAGGGAATCTTTTTACAAAAATTGAAGTGACAGGGTGCACTTCATTTTTGATATGTAGCAAAGTTACATATTGATTCTTACTTTGTTAGGATACATATGTTTTACAAGAACGGTAGGAATATACACATAGGTCAGAAAGGTTTGGAACATCTAGAAACGTTTGTTAAGCCCTTTTTTTGGGCGTCCTCTTCAACCTTCATCTTTCTCTATAAAGTTGATGTGCTTGTTTTCTTTTGAGAGATGCTGTAGAGGCTTAGGAGTGAGTACATGTTTGATGTCTGTGTTTCATAACTGCCATATGTTTGTTTAATGGCAGCAATGCCCGTGGCTGATTGAAGGTCCCTGTTCAGGTTCAGAGTATTGATTGTGTCCAGCTTCGTATTTCACTCTAGCGTCTTTAATATTTTATGGAGTTCCTTGGTGAAGAGAGTGACCTGTATAGCATCTCTACCGTCACTTATCTCAGCGGCTACTCTGTATCCGTGTAGATTTGCACGGAGAATGTGTGTACATAAGAAATAAAGTATTTGTGAAGTTTGTATATAAAGAGGGCATTAAAGATTGTAGAATAAAAATATAAGCCGTCGTCTAAAGTTTATTTGTTCACGTCGATTACCCTCGGCGACTGGTTGAGTAGATGATGATGGAATTTCCATTGAATCTATAATGACTTAAGAATACACCTAAGTATTCAGTAATGTTATGCATGATGTAATAACAAACACATGTATAGACTTAAATTAAGTAAATAAGCAAATATGAGTCACCTAACATTTTTAGAACTGCATAGAAACTCTGTTTTCAAAAAAAATTAGGGAAACATATTTTAAAAGTGCCTAAACATACCAAGGGAGTCGAAGAACAAGTTCTTGAGATGAAGAAAGAGCACGAAGAGTGGTTTGTCACCTGTGAACACCATTAATAATAAAGTTATATGGAGTAAGAAAGAATAAGATCATAATGGTTGCAAATATAAAGCATTATTTCAGAACATATTGGAAGGAATGAGAACGTAAGTAAAAGCTTCCAAAAATTGTGGTAAAAACGCTCTTTTATTCGGTATGTGTTCTCATTTGGTATTAGGACGGGGACTGAACAAAAATTCAATTAGGGCGCTCATTCAAAACCTAAGAAGACGTGGTCCAAATCTGAGACTTGACAAGAATTCAGAATCCTTGTAATCCATCTTCCTTTTATCTTATTATCCCTATTTGGTTCCCATAGTGATACACTCCGTCTGATATATAGGCAATTTTTACTAAACGTAGTTTCCTGTAACTTTTTTTTTGCACAATTTGTTATTTTACTGTATATATGTATCCCCAAAGTAGTGATGCAGAAGCTTACAACTGCTCTTCTGTTATTACTTATTAGTATATGAAGAATTGAAAATTTGGAATATATTCTCCCTTTTTCAATTTGCTAGATTTTGCTATCCACTTCTCATTATAGTATGCTTTGTATATGAGTCAGAAGCATCACATTATTTTATGACTCCATATTTGTAAACTCACCTCACACACAAAAAACAAACCAAAACCTTTATGCTTTAGCAGACTTGGTTGCACTGTTGCAGGTGTTTTCAGTTTTTAGGTGTTTTCGCTTTTTTGAACAACCTTTGAGACACAAACTAAATTTGTAGTTGATTTGCTGGAGAGAAGATGTCATTAATGGGCCATTGTTGTTCAAACGAACAAGTTTTTTTTCAAATCGTCCTAAGGTCTTATAAGTTGAATTAATCAAATTTGTTCGTTTGGGGGATGATTTTGAAACCTAAATCAACACTGACGAAAATGCATCTTTACTAACCAATATGCATCTTTCTGCCCTGTTATGGGAAAACTGGCACTTATTTTTATGGGAAAACTGACTTTTGAGGGATGATTTTGAAACCAAAGGGCTGACTTTGATGAGAAATTTGGTACTTTAAGTGCTGATTTTCAAAGAGAACCCAGATTTTGAAGTTAATTTCCAAGCAAATAGCACACCTTTCAAAAGTAACAATACTATCACATGAATCATAAATGCATGAACATGATGTACCAAAAAATCCGTAGACTTCTAATTGTCAAACTTAGGAAAATCAAAGGAATTTATATAGGTACCCAGAATCTGAAGTTATCACAAGTACAGAAGTGCGCACATATATTACTGAATTTTAGTAGGACTTCATGATGATCAGGAACATGAGTATTAGTATTTTTCATGAAACATTGCATAGTTTTGTATTTTTGCTTTAACAATCTTTACATCTATTTATGCTTTGTATGAGAAGGATTCCAATGTTGCAAAGATTAATGTTGAAATGAATTACAAAGTTGCAGAAATACAGGAATTGCACATAAGGAAACAGATAAAATAGTAGAGGATTTGAATACAGAAATGGCTGCAGCCTAGCATTTGATTATTCTATAAGTTCATCTTATTGAAAGTAGGTCAAATAAGCAAGAAATAGATGCTAAATGTAAAGTATTGTTCCGCTGCATATTGTTGCTAATCCTATTTTCTAGTTTTTTCCGTTTCTTCTAGTTGTTCTAGTTTTCTCCTAATTATTTTAAAAACTAACTTTTTTCAACCCTAGAGAATAGACGCTAAATGTAAAGTATCCGCTGCATATTGTTGCTAATCCTATTTTGCATGAGTATCACTATTTCATTGGAGAAGGAGCCAATGCCACATCTTTTTCTAATCAGGAAAGGATTTGGAAGACGTTGCTCCAAGGGTGCAAGTGTTTCTTTGGCGTTCATTGCGAGGTATTTTTCCTACTGCCAATGCTCTTATTTCCGGGGGCGTGGAAGTGGATAATTTATGTCCTTTGAGAGAATCAATCGACCGTGTTTTTCCGTGCCCGTTTTCGAAGGCGGTGTGGTCTGTGTCTAGAAAAGACCCAAGTCATAGAGATGCTACTTTGTTTGTTTCTTGGTTTCAAGGTCATTCTATTGTTTTATCTGTTTCAGAGTTACAATATATTGCATGGATTTTGTGGGCCATTTAGAAAGCGAGGAATACCGTGGTTTGGGAACATAAAGTTGTACTTCCACACATGACTTGTAGGATGGCTGAAGATGCTAGTTGATCATAGATGGGGGCTCAAGTCCATAAGGCGTTGGCTTCTCAAGGGGTAGCACCCACTCGAGACCGCCAATCAACTCATAGCAGGTTAGATTTTTCTTTATTTTGTCATTTTGATGCAACTCTTTTCTCTTGAGAGGATTTGATTGGCTTTGGTTGTGTCCTTTCGAAAGACGATTCTTTTCTAGCAAGAGAAAATGGGAGATTAGAGTGTGTGCAGAACCCTTTTTTGGCTAAGGAGTGGCATGTAGGGAGGCACTCTCATGGCTCAAATGCAGAGGAATTAGAGAGGTGCAAATTAAATCAGATTGCTTTCAACTTGTGGGAACTCTTCAAAAAAGGAGATTATACTTCTTGTCATTTTTATGTTGGCTAGTGTTTCTCTTTTATCTTTTTTGAGTCTATTGACATTAATTTTTGTAGGCATTATCAAAATATAGTTGCTCATAAGATGGATATGTGGGAAGGTTCACCTCCTAATTTTGTGGTGAATCTATTATAATTTAATGAAGTCTTTTTCTTCAAAAAAAGCTAACAATATTGACCAAAACTTTATTCAAAGCCCAATTAAATGGAAAGAGATCTTAAACATCATAATAACTCGTGTTTCAAGAAAGACCATGTTCTTATTTCTCAGTTGTAGATAACTATTACTACTATAAGAGCAACTCCAATGGTGGTACATATCTTGGGGAGGTATATATCACATTTACCTCTCCAAAACATCAAATTTACCTTCTCAAAAAGTGCTCATCTCCAATGGAGGGAAGGTAAATCAAGAATGGTAATCTAGAAATGTAATTTATTTGAATTTAGATTGAATTTTAATTTTTTAAAAGCATCTTAGCTCTACATTATATTAAAAAGCATTAAGCTTGTATAAAAGAACTAAATTAAAAGAAAATCAATGTACCAAAAAACTAAAAAAGATTATATTAAGAAACAATTACTCATTAATATCAAAGAAAAATTATGAGTTGATAAAAAAACTAACCCTAAAAAATTGTGCCCCTCCCTCCTCCCCTTCTCCTCTCACACACCATCTTGAGATATTACTTCTGCATTGCCACCATACCTCTTCGCTCACTTAGAGTCCCCGACCCTCTTGCCTAGTATTTTTCACAAGATTTCTTGAAAAGTAAGGGCACTGGAGAAGGGCTCCTCTTCTCTGATTAAGAGGTAAATTTTGTAACGCTAAATTAGGGCTTCTTGATTTATTATTTGCAGATTGGTAGGTTTTGATCATTGATTTTCTTCCTCACTTCTTCCCGCCGCTGTCAACTACCTCTTTCATCATTTTACCTCTTGTTGTTGATGAGGGTATATTTACCCCTCTGAAATTGATAAGGGTATTTTACCTTTTCACATACCTTTCTCATTAGAGTGTAGCTTTTATGAAAAAAGAGGTAAAAATGGCAGTTATAAGTTTTTACCTCATGTAATACCCCCGCCATTGGACTTGCTCTAAGGAATACATGAAAAGAAACTCCAAAGACTTTTTTCAAGTATTTTAAACAAAGTCCAACAAGAAGCAACACAAAGTACCTTGAGAAAAAACAAAATCTCATTCACTTATAAGTCAACGAAGAGTTATAATTATAGTTTTGATAATATTATAGAGCCTATATAAGAGCAATCATCATGAAACACGCATTGATCACATCATGTGAAACGAGTTGACATTGAAATTTTGGAGAAGGTAATATTAGGAATACATTCAAAATAAAGCGTCAAGGCAGATCAATAGTATGGCTTACTTCGGAAATGGAAACACTTGCTACACTTATACAAACCAAACAGGAAAGGTCAAATGAAAGAAGATTGTATTCACCAAGATGATGACATCCTTTTGGTTACACACAGAATGGGGAGCTTCAGAACTGCGACTTGTCCAAGCTGTCAAAGTAGGGATGATCAAGAGCAGCCTTCGCTGAAATGCGATCAGCTGGATCATATTTCAGCATTTTCTGCAATTGTTATTGATATGTTTGCTCTCACCGTTAACCGTCACAAGAGGATCAAATATTTCAATGTGAAGGGAAGAGAGATTACCGATAGAAGATCAACACCATCCGGGCACAAAGCTGGAACGGCACGAGCCAAGACTTGAGGTTCCCACTGTGGGTAGACGTGCCAATCCTTAAGAGAGCTCACTCCAGGCCATTGCTTCTCTGTTGGTGTTCCTAGCATCCTTCAAGTGTAGGTAGACACCCCAACAGAAAAACGTCATTGCACAATACAACTTGTCTGGTTTTCATTGCAAGCAAACGGTGCACGAAGGCAACATTGATAAACCGCAATGTGACATGATGTAATGTTATCAAATGCTCTGTTGCTAACATTGTCACTATATATGTTTTCAAAACATCAACTTTGTATTGTAATTTAATGTATTATTCCTTGGTCAGCAAAGTACTATGTTGAAAAATGAAAGAGTACAAGTCAAATTGTCACGACAAAAAAAAATCAAGTTCATTATGTAATTACGTTACAATCCAACCCAGTACAGTGTTGGGTACAGTGTTGGATCGGAAAGCTATGTCCGTGCTCCGATACCACTTGTTGGGAATTAAACACACAACACACACAAATAATCTGCGAGAAACGAGAGAAACGGAACACGGACGACACACAAGAATTTAACGTGGTTCGTTTTCCCTAATCCACGGCTGCAACAGGAGGAATTTCTTATTTCACTTGTGTACCCAGATTACAAATACACGCCCTCTATATATAGGGAAATAGCTAGGGCTACGCACAACTAGGCCGGGCCGACAAACAAGCCTCCACAAAGCCCAACATTACCAAATATTAATTACATTGGAGTTTATTTCATTTTNGTGAAAGTTGGTAAGTGGCAAATCACATCTGAAATGAGTGAGGCAGCATGGGGATGAATACATGATAGAGATATGGGACATTTGAAAGAAGCCAAACAAAACAATAATCCGTAATAATCATGGCAAGTGGCTTCTTTTATGGATATTAAGGCAGTGACCTGTTAATAATAAAAGGTGGTATACTCCTTTGGCAAATAGCTTCTTTCATGGATATTAAGGCAGTGGCCTGTTAATTATATAAGGTAGTATACTCCTTTTGCAGTAGGCAGTAGCAGTAGTTTGAGAGAGAGTTTTTCTGAGAAGAGAATATGAATTGTTGTGCAAGTGTTGCATTGGTTGTACTTCAATTGATATTATAGGAAAAGTTTAATCCAAAAGGATCTAGATTTTTCCCTAATTGAGAGGGGCTTCCACTTAAAATATTGTGAGTTGATCTTTTATTTTTTCTGCATATTTTTTCTCCAATGTTTTATTTTTGAAAGTCTATTGTTGTTCGGTAATTTCGCTCAACATACAGATTGCCAATCATTACCTGAAGAGGTAATAATGGCAAAAAGATTATCACGAAGCTACTAAGAAATTGTGTTTCAAAAGATACAATAACATGAAGATAAACAAAGGAACCATAACAAAACCTGAATATGTGAAGCAGTTGCTGAAATTCAGAATCCCCAGGGAACAATGCTTGTCTCCTTGCCATTTCAGCTGCAGCAAGCAAGAGATAATGAATTGAATGATAAGACAACATTTGTAATCTTTCAATAATACGAATCTCCCAGATTGGGAGAAATCTTAGATAAAAACTAGGCAATCAAATCATGAGGGAATCAAAGTTTCAACAATTCTTCAGTGATCAATCAATGGAAATGCACATTTAAAAAAGGGAATGAATGCACTTGAATGTCATCTAATGTCAGAATTCACAAGTCAGCAACAATTGATCAGAGCATAACAACTCAAATTGAAGGATCAATTCGACCAGTTTATGTACGGAGTACTAGAAAAAGATTATAAACTAGTGTTTAACTTACCGAAAATACAACCAACAGACCACATATCAACAGCAGTTGAGTAATGAGTGGATCCCAAGAGCACTTCTGGGGCTCTGTACCATAAAGTCACAATCTGACATCGAAACACGAAGCAACTTTAAGATATCACCGAGATCCGGAGACTATAACAAAGAAATCAGATCAGAAAAAACAGCACACCTCGTGAGTGTAGCTCTTGAGGGGCACTGTGAATGCCCTACCAAGGCCAAGATCGGCAATCTTGAGTATTCCCTTCTCCTTGTCAACCAAAAGGTTCTGAGGCTTAAGATCTCTGAAAAGGACAAATGATGAATCAAAAAACCGTTCAAGTTTCAAGACGAAGTGATGAAATCGTATCGTTGGATCGAACTGGATCAAATAATACCTATGAAGAACACCATGGCTGTGGCAGTGGGCGACACCCTTGCACAACTGATAGAGGAAGCTCTGGATGAGGGAAGGAGGAAGGGGCCTGGGATTGGGGCCTTTGCGATGGGAATCGATGTACTTCTTGAGATCGGTGTCGAGATACTCGAAAACTAGGTAAAGGAGAGGCTTGCCGTTCTTGTCGACATGCTCGACGCAGAGGAGGCGGACAACATAGAGGGAGTGGGAGAGCATCTGAAGAAGGGAAACCTCCCGGAGAGCGGTGGGCGGGATGCCTTCTTCGTCCATCTCCAGCCGCGTCTTCTTCAGAGCCACCAGCTGTCCCGTCGCCTTGTCCTTCGCCTTGTACACCTTCCCGTATGTTCCTTCGCCGACCTTCTCCAGCTTCTCGTACTTCTCCATTTCTCTCTGATTTCTCGATCTTCTCCTTCTTCTTCCCTTCTCTCTTAAGAAGGGGATTTCCGATCGATCTTCCTCCTCCGGTGGCGAATTTTGAATCGAAATTTCGAGGGTTTTGGACAGGGGAGTTTGGGTTATCGATTGGCACGTGCTTCCCTCTCTTTTTTTTTCTTTTATGTTTTTTGAAATTTGAATTCCGGACTAACGTGCTTGGTCTAAACGGTTACTCCCTAAAGAACTTTTTTTTGTGCATACTCTTGCTTTTATGCTCTATCTTCCTATTGTTGTGAAAAGAAAATCTCTTATTTGACCATAAGAATTTATATCCTACTTGATAAGAATGAGATGTTATCAAATTCATTTAGGTCCCGTTTGGTACATGGAATTCAAATTATGAAATTGGAATTGAAGGCTTCAATTCCAATTCTAGTGTTTGGTAGCACAAAAATTATCTGAATTTGGAATTGATAGTATAAAAAATGAATTGAAATTGGCAGAATTCAATTCTATGAAATTGAATCCCATGGAATCTCAATTCCAATTCAATTCCAATTCCGTCAATTCCATATACCAAACGGACCCTTAGGTTCCGTTTGGTACATGGAATTCAAACTATGGAATTGGAATTGGAGAGTTCAATTCCAATTCTGGTGTTTGGTAGCACAAAAATTATGTGGATTTGGAATTAATAGTGCAAAAAATGAATTGAAATTGACAGAATTCAATTCTATGGAATTTCAATTCCAATTCCACCAATTCCTTATACCAAACGGAATCTTATGCTCCTTTTGGAAACGAGAAAAATGACTTCTGGAAGTCATTTTCCCTATTTTCTTGTGTTTGGCAAGTTTGAAAAATGGAGTCAAACGAAATTGAACTCCGGGTCAAATGGAAAATCAATGCAAAAATCCAGAATTTGACTTACAATTTTAAAAGTTCGAAAGTTATTTTCGGCCGCTGCATCGATCTGCTCTCCCTCATTGTTCTCTCTCAGTACCACTCTCTCCTTTGCCTCTTCACTCCCATCTTGTTTCTTCTTCTTCTACATCACCCTTTTTCTTCTTCTCCATCACCCTTCTTTTTCCCTTCTCCATCCCTCTTCTTTTTCTACTCATCCATCACCATCCAGATCACCACCTTCCAGAGCGCCCCCGTCCCAATCGTCTCCATCACCCCAATCACCTCCTCCATCTCAATAATCGGTCTCCATCTGAGGTAAATTGTGTCACTACCATCCCCATCTGCAAGGTGTTTGATAAAAAGTCTGAAAGACAATTTGATTTTCTAGACATTCATTTTCCAGAATTGAGCAAACGAAAATAGATACTTTTCAACTTTTAGCCAAACACCAAAAAAGAAAAATAACTCATTTTCCAGAAGTCATTTTCTAGAATTTATTTTCTAGATCTTTAAACGGAGCCTTAAATTTTAATTAATTGAATAACATATACTTCGTCGTCACTGAATTATCTTCCTATTTGTTTTTTCTTGATCGATCAATAGTTTCTAACTTCATTTCTCCTTCTTCTTCACTTGGTACCAGCTTCGAACCCTTAACCTGGGAGTTGAGTTTGAAAATGCTCAAAGCCAACAACCAACCAAGCCAAAACATTGAATATGTACCCAAAACCATGCCCAAGTTGCATAGGTGCGGATGGAAAAAAGCCATTACATTGGTTATGCAAGGTACATAAATATTTTGATTTTTATGCACTTGCGTTGTGTTGCATTGATGCTTGAAGGTTTTACTGGTAATTCATTCTGTTGGCACTCAAGCAACTAGGGCCTACTCGATGGTTGGGACAATTTTGACAAGCAGTATAAAAATTGATTTGCTTCGTGTAACACAAAAGACCAATCAAGTCTGCAACCCCTTTCGAATCAAGTTGTTATCTCAGAAAAACATTTAAACAATTGTAGAAGGAAAAACCTTTTATTGAAATTTGAGTTTAAACGGTTAAAATGTCGTAAAAATTTTTGAAACATTATATCAAAGTTTGCAAAAGTAACCAAAACCTATGCATTGTTAAAAGTAGTTCAAGCATCTCATCTATCCTCGGCATCTCGCTCGGCTCCAAACACTATGCATAGTTAAACTACAAAATTGTACGCTCAATAAACAGTTGAGTGACACAATACAATAAAACTGAAACTCTTAGAGCAAAACAATATAGCTTTGATACCACCATTTGAAATCTCTTGTACACTACTACAATATGGGCTTTTGCAACACCCATAAAGCTAAATTTTACGCTAGATAAGAAATGCTAAGAACACAACTTTAATTCATTTGTCCTCTGACAATAGATATCATAAATTATACTTTCTCCGTCCCCAATTTGATTATAAATTGGTGTTTACGAGGAGAAATATCTCACTTTTTGAAATCATTTTATTAACAAATCGGTATATCGATAAGAAATAAAAATTACATATTAAAAAAACTACATCAAAAATTCTACAAAACAAGAAGTGACAAGAATATTTTATTTTATCAAATACTTAATGAAATCGCATAAACAAACAAAAATTATCGATAAGAGAGAAAAAATTTAATCTAATTGGGGACGGATGGAGTACAATGCTACATCATATCTTACATATTCACGCATGCGAGATCAACCATTTCCATTACAGGTCACATATTATACCTTTCTCATATGAATAGAGCAAGAGTAGTACTTCCTAGGTCCCTAAAAGATCTTCCCCTTTTATTTTTTATTGTCCCCAAAAGATTGTTCCCTTATCTATTAAAAAACCATTTTTACCCCTTACTTTTTCATATTCTACCGATCACATTATACCTTTTTACTAATAATCTATCTATCACATCTTACTTTTACACATCACATAAGGGTATGATGTGATAGGTAGGGTATGAAAGAGTAAGGGGTAAAAGCGCCTTTTTAATAGAAATGAGAAGTGTTTTTTGGGACGGATGAAAAAAGAAAGGAGAAATGTTTTTAGGGACGAAGGGAGTATTTCATAAATTTCCCTATGTTGATAAAAAGAAAAAGAAACTGCAATTAGCATTGTTTAACTATAGAGACATTAATACTCTGTAATTCGTTGATCACGGACAGCAGATGTCTGTGTACCGTGAATTGAAAATTTCACCCCATCTCCACCCGAATCAAACCCTTCTGTGAAGTTGTAAAAGAACAAAGATTCAGTGATGATCGGGGAGGAGTGATCGATGACGAGAAGCAAGCGGTAGAGGAGGAGTTGATGCGGCGATGTAGGAGTTGAATGCATGGTTCACCGCTATGATCCGCTCTAGATCTGATGGTGATGATGTCGCCGTTGTGATGCTTATGGGGTGGTGAGGGGGGAGGCCACATTGTGCATCTTCTAGGCAGCAGAGTGTATCCTACGGTGCAAGTCATCCGGCGACAATGATGAAGGCATGATTTTACAGTGTCGGCCACCGGCGAGAAGGGGTAGAGATCAAATCCGAGGGAGAAAGAGAGAGAGTGATGGAGATTAGGTTGAGAATGAAAGGTGGGGGATGGGTTATGTATTGAGAGGTAGGGACGTAAATGAATCGAATATTTTTTGTTCGATTCGTGATTCGTATTCGTTTAAGGTGATTCGTATTCGATTTTTTCAAATCCGAATACGAATACGAATCTGAATAAATATTCGAATCCTTATCGAATACGAATATGAATCAAGGGTATTCGATTCGTGAGTTTGACAAATATATTCGGAATATAAATCTAATTATATAAATTATATACATACATACATACATACATACATACATATATATATATATATATAGATATATATATATGTATATATATGTATATGTATATATATATATATATGTATATCTGTATATGTATATGTATGTATATGTATATATATATATATATGTATGTATGTATATATATGTATGTATGTATATATATGTATATATGTGTGTGTGTGTGTGTGTGTGTGTATCAAATGGTTATAAAATATTTTAAAATCTAAATGAACTGAATAATTTTAAACGAACCGAATATATTTAAACGAATCGAATATTTAAACGAACCGAATATGTTTAATATATTAAACGAACCGAATACGAATCTTAAAAAATATTCGAACCGAATTCGAATTCGAATATCACTACATCTTAACGAATATGAATATTTTTCATGAATATTCGATTCGATTCGGTTCGTTTACAACCCTATTGAGAGGGAGGGGTGAGTCTATATGGTGTACAAGATGGGGTACATCACTAGTGTACCCCTAGCACGGCCGTTTTTTCAATATAAAATCAAGAAAAATGCTAGAGGTACACCAAATGTGTACCCCATTTGTCCTTCATCCCTTCCTTTTCCACAAAAAAAGGCAAGAAATTTAAAAAATAAATAAATAAAAATAAAATAAAAATGAGTGGTGGAGAAGTGGGTGGTGTACATTTGGGGTACACCTTTGGTGTACCCCTAGCATTGCTCTAAAATCAAAGATTTATTGTTCTAGAAGCCACAAGTTTGAAGTTTGAATTTTTTAATGAATTACTTACTAGCTACTTTTATCCCTAGTCAAAAGCGAGAGTTGACTTCACGGATATATATTAAGGTAAAGGTTAGCATGTTGTGGACTTTTTCATTTTTGCCCCTGATATGACATATTGTTGAAATAGTAGAGAGTTGGTAAAAGTGATTGAAAGAGATAGTAGTAGATGAGTTGAAATAAGAGAGATAGAGTCGGTAATTAATAGTAATTAAAAAGATAGAAAAATTAATCCAATAGATAAGAAAAATGTGAAAAAGTAAGAATATTATTAAAAATATTTCTAGTGTTGGCTTTGCCAAATTAGGAAGTGTGTATTTTGATTTCTAACACCTCATTTAGAACATGTGTCTTTCAATTAATTTGGCTTGGGAGGAAGAGAGTACTTAAGAGGAGGGGAGAAAGACAAATAATTAAACATTGTTAATTAAAAGGTTGACAAGACATGTATGGAGGGAATGCATGACATTTTACCAACAAGTTAAGATATGTTCTAATCTACTTTAATTATTACCACGTTTGGATGGAATCTTTTATCTATATTTGTCATCATAAGAGGAGGGGGCCATTATATCACAAACCCCACACCACTTGCATTGCATCCATCCAAACCTTTGCCTAATTATTATTCCTCTTCATAATGCACTTCCCTCTTTCCATTTTATGCACCACCCAAACCTTATTCTTCATTCCATTATAATCTCTCTCTCTCTCTCATCTTTCCCCTTTCTATTCTTGTGAAAAAATCAAAGCTATGACCCAAACATGTCACAAACACCCCAAGGTTCTAACTACCCTTCAACTCTTTTTATTGTTATTGTTCCTGCAACTTCTCTTCCTCCTCCACTCTTGTGTGGGTCATGAAGGTGAGCTTTATTTTTATATAGATCAAGGAATTATTTATGGAATTTACTCTTTTTGTTATATCGCAAGTGACATGGGTGCATGATCTAGCTTGTGCGAAAAATGTGGTAGGAGTGGCGGCGGGGAAACGGCTAGTGCCGATGAAGACGGAACGGGAGTTCAGAGCGGGTGTGGATTTAATGACAGGCGGAGGCGGCGGGAGGCGGAGGTTGGATCCGTTTCAGCTGTGTTCGGAGTGCAAGTGTTGTGAGGCACCGGAAGACACGGGCAACTGCACTACGACGTCGTGCTGCTTCGGCATAGATTGCCAGCTTCCAAACAAGCCCTTCGGGGTCTGTGCTTTTGTCCCCCAGTCTTGCAACTGCACTTCCTGCAATGTTATTTAGCAAGCTATAGGCCACCATATATTCATGCACACATACATAGCACATCCATGTTTAATCAATTCACTCTCTTGAGAGTGCATATATGATATTATGGGGAATTCAGCATATGTATATTTTTACATAGGCTCCTTCCGTTTGGTACACGGAATTCAAACTATGGAATTTGTGTTAAGGACAACAAATCCAATTTAGGTGTTTGGTAGCAAAAAATGTGGATTTGTAGTGCCAAAAATGATCTGAAATTGTTGGAGAATTCAATTACATCCAAATCAATTCCATAAAATTTCAACTCCCAATTATATTCCAATTTTTCCAATTCCGTATACCAAACGGACCCTTATTGTTATTATAGGATCTGGGTTAGGGGTAAGAACCACTTTGGACCCTAACGAAACATAGTATGTATGAGTCGGTGTCATTATTATGACATCCAAAGTTAGTGTCAAAGAAGTCGATCGCATGGTATAAAAAAGGGTTAATTGCTTTCTTTGGTAGCACGTTTAACACTCTAGCTGTGAACCGTCAACTAGTGACGATTCCCAAGAAAACTACCCTGAAGTTTAGATCGGGAAGTCGAGCCAATCAATTTGGTTCTGATTAGAATTTAATTAGTTTGAGTCGATTTTTAATACTATGTACGGAGTATATGTTATAACCAGTTCTTTTAGATATAATCGATTTGGGTGGATGGATATTAGTTCGAGTATACAACGGTTCAATTTGTGTATAATTAGATTCGGGTAGATTTTGATTTGGATAACTATCACTTCAGACATCATATTCCTTTTTAAATACGGTTTGATCCCAATGCCACCGGACACTGACTTTTTGGAACGCTTATGAGATTACGATTGCTACATTCGTAAAATATTATTTCGAGCCTCCACCCCCTCACCCCCCACCCCACTCTCCAAATGTGTGATCATTACACAATTGCTCTCCAAATGTGTGATCATTAGGGGCCAAGGGGAAGGATTAAGAGGTAATGGTGGGGCTGGGTTGGGGGGTTTATGAAGGGTAAAAATCATCAATTTTGACAACGTAATACCGTATGTGCTCTAAAAAACTAGTGACAGAGCTAGTTGCACCATTGCTCAATGGCAATGGAATCGGGTTGTTTTAAAAATGGCAACAGAACCAGACTGTTTTAAAAAATACTTCGTGAGCAAATGGTTCACGTCTCTCTATCTCTTCAAAAATCACAATCACAAAATTTCATTTTTAGAACTAATACTCCCTCTCAAAGACAATACTCTACACTTTTCTTTTTTGAATGTCTCAAAAGGACTTCACGATTTATTTCCTACTTATTTTGGTAATGAAAATGTGGCTCAAAATATTTTTCACAAATCTAAAACAAATTCTAACCATATACAAAGTATTTTTAAAGTTTCAACTTCTTTAACTCCATGAATGTCAAACCGTAAGATTTTTTCATAAGATTGAGAATAATTTATCACAACAATTCTTTTGACCCGAGTGATTTTAACCTTAGAATGACCAAGGCCTCTACGGTGCTCCGTTCATAAAATTGATAGTTCCGACCCCAACCCCATCCCCCTGCCCCCTCCCCCCCTAGATCGGCGAGGGCAAGGGGGTTTAGGGGAAGTTAGCAGGGTAGAAATCATCAATTTTACAAGCGGAGTACCATAGCTGCCCCAAAATGCCAAGGTCATTAAGGTCACTTGAGGCCAAGGTCAAAAGATCCTAGCCGATAATTTATTACTAGTGAGTCATAATCCGATTTCGGGTGTGATCTACTCTCTTTTTGCTAAACCAAAGCAAGCTATGAATCATACATGTCTCAAACTTACATGCCAGAGATCCAAGCCTTGTGCTATTATCTCATCTTCTCTTCATTTTCCACCTGGTTATGGGTGGAGGTGAGCTTTGATTTCCTTGACAAGAAACAGACAGAGTTTTGCAAATGGGAGGAAAACATTAGAGGAAAATGAATGCTTCGCAATAGATATGATTACGCATTGTGTAGGAAAGGATGTATGAAAAAGAGGATTATTAGGAAATGTAGGAGAATAGTGATACAGAGATTATGTTCATGACCGAGTTCTGAGATCCTTTTACATTCGAACACGGGGGGTAGTCTCGGGTTAAAAGAAGCGATACACGCGTTTTGCTGCTTCAAGTGTGTTGAGGAGCAGCATTGCAACTGTCATGGGACCGACCCCTCCCGGTACAGGGGTTATTGCAGAAGCTACTCTCACTGCCTCTTCAAAGCAAACATCACCAACCAGCCTGTAACCATTCTCATTCTCTTCATCCTAATACACCAATTTGCATACACATACATACAAACACAATGTTTCTCATTATTTATTTTGTATTGCAGATGAATGTATATAATCAAAGTTAAAAACCCATACACTCAAAGCAATTTTCTTTCAAATACTCGGCAATGAACTTAGAAGATTAACTAATATTAGGCATATACAGATGGGGCTTTAAAGCATCAATCTATACCTCTATTGGAGTAGTGCCAACATCGACAACAACAGCACCGGGCTTTATCCAGCTGCCCCGAACTAAATTAGGCACCCCTGCTGCAGCAATCAAAATGTCAGCTTCCCGGGCAACAACTTCTGGGTCCTTTGAAAATGCATGCACACTGGTAACTGTTGCATGGTGCCTCTGCCAAAAAGTTATTATATAGGGTATGTTTCAATCTCAGAAAATGCTAAAGCTTTTTATATATTTGGTTTTACGTTGAAAATAAGGAAAAAGAAACATGATTAATCTATTCTTTTTTTTTAATTTAGATTTTTTATCTTAATACTCCCTCCGTCCCTCAGTATTCGTCCAACAGGCCCGCCCATTAGCAAGTTCCATAGGTGCAATAGAACAGGGCCTCTAAAATATAGGGGCCCATATTTTTTATAGACCAATTATAATTATAAGCCCATTACCTAATATATTACTCCGTACTAAAGAAAGCAAAAGGCCGGCCGATGAGTTCCTCAGTTGTTCCAGACTTCTATACTCTTCGCCTCTTCGGTTCCTCCGCTGCTGTCTAACGGAACTTCCTTGGCATCTTCCCAATTGTGATTCTTCCTCTTTTAATACGGAAAATAAACCATCTTCCTTTTCCGAATAATTCCTCAACTTCTTCTTTTTTGGTGAGTTCTTAATTTTTATGTCTCTGTTTTTTTCTTTCAAATTGACGTGCTACTTTCATCATCTCAATGAAAATTCAATTTTTCTGGTTTTCTTTTGTGCACGGAAGTCAATTTAGGTGGTTTAGATTTGTTTGGAAATTATTTTAGTGTTAGAAATCCATATTTATTTTGCATCTTAAAATCTTAAATGATTCATTTTATCGTTTAATTATTTCTTAATGTTATAAATTAGTGTTTCTTCTTTAATTTTGCAAGACCAGTAGTTCAATTTTAACTTTGGTTTTAATTATTGTTTTTTTTTGAGTTGCACAGGGCCACCTTAAATGATTGGGCGGCACTGTCGTCCAACATTCCTTTTTGAGCCGTCCCATAGTATTTGTCCACTTTCCTTTAATGGAAACTAAAAGAGCAAGAAAAGTCTATTTTACCCTTATTCACATTCCCTTCCATCACCCAATTTTCTTTCTTCTTCTTCTTTCGTATCTCTCCCTCTTATCCTAGCTTTCTTTTTTAATCTTTTTCCTCCCATTTTTCTTTTCTTTCTGTATCCTTTTCCTCCTCCAATCTTTTTCTTTTTACAATTTTTTTCTTTCTCCCCCTCCCAATTTTCTTATTCTTCTTCCGATTTCTTCTCTCTCCCCCTCCCAATCATCTTCTTCTTTAGATTTCTCTTCTCTCTCATCCTCCCAATCTTCTTCCCTGATTCTTCTCTACTCTAATTCTTCTTCTTCTTCTTTCATTCTCTCATCCTCAGTCTTCTTTTGTGATTTCTTCCACAGATCCGAGCAATGGGTTCTTCGACAGTCTTCTTATCACCTGGTCTGGATTTTTTTCTTCCACAGATCAGAGCAACGTGTTTCGTCTTCCACAGATTCGAGTAGCACATGAGCTGTGCTGCAATTATTGTTACAATCATTTCTAATCTGTCCGTCAAGATGGTGGAGACTATCAAGATTGGATGTGGGACAGAAATCTGGGGCGGCAGGTAGATGGTGGAAATTGGGGATGACGAACAATTGGGAGCAGGGGCAGTTGTGGGTTACTGAGGTAGCCTAGGGGTAATTGTGTCACTTTACTCATCACCTTGGTATATGTGCCATATTGAAAGTGGACAAAAACTAGGGGACAGAGGGAGTATAATATAAATATACTGATAAAATGTGTTTTAAAGCATATCTAAAATAAATCTATTGAGTTTGAGTTCACACTATTTCTCCCCTCAAAATTTGTTTCCAACTTCCTACGAATTATTTTAATATTCTTCTCCTTACTTTCTTGAGCAAATCCTGTGTTCCAAACAGACATTTACGCTATGTTTTGTCCAAGGAATTAGGAAGGAAAGGAAAATAAAAGTTCTCTCCTTTTCCTTCTAAAATGGAAGGGACCTTCTAAAGGGGAATGCCGTCTCTTGTATTGTGGGAAGTAGTGCGCGCCCCGCGTGTGCTTCGGCACCTGCGTACTCAGGTCGTTGACTTGTGGGCTCTCCATTCGACCCGTCTTGAAACACGGACCAAGGAGTCTGACATGTGTGCGAGTTGGCGAGTGGAAAAACTCGCAAGGCGTAAGGAAGCTGATTGGCGGGATCCCTCTTCGGGGTGCACCGTCGACCGACCTTGATCTTTTGAGAAGGGTTTGAGTGTGAGCATACCTGTTGGGACCCGAAAGATGGTGAACTATGCCTGAGCGGGGTGAAGCCAGAGGAAACTCTGGTGGAAGCCCGCAGCGATACTGACGTGCANGGCATTTGATATGCTAGGGGAATGCCGTCTCTTGTATTGTGGGAAGTAGTGCGCGCCCCGCGTGTGCTTCGGCACCTGCGTACTCAGGTCGTTGACTTGTGGGCTCTCCATTCGACCCGTCTTGAAACACGGACCAAGGAGTCTGACATGTGTGCGAGTTGGCGAGTGGAAAAACTCGCAAGGCGTAAGGAAGCTGATTGGCGGGATCCCTCTTCGGGGTGCACCGTCGACCGACCTTGATCTTTTGAGAAGGGTTTGAGTGTGAGCATACCTGTTGGGACCCGAAAGATGGTGAACTATGCCTGAGCGGGGTGAAGCCAGAGGAAACTCTGGTGGAAGCCCGCAGTGATACTACCGTGCAAATCGTTCGTCTGACTTGGGTATAGGGGCGATTGGGTATAGGGGCGAAAGACTAATCGAACCGTCTAGTAGTTGGTTAGTGTGTTTCTCATTTTCTTTTCCTTCCACTTTCTGTTCCTCACTAACCAAACAAGAAATTAAATTTTCCAAATTATTTTTTTTTTTTCTTCTTTCAAATTCCTTGAACCAAACATAGTGTTAGTGCTAGAGGTGATAGGGTATAAGAGTTTAAATCAACATCACATACCTGCAACAGCAAAAACATGGGCAATCCAACAATATTGCTCCTTCCAATCACTACAGCCTTCTTCCCCGTGATTTCAACATCAGACCTAAGCAGCAGCTCAATGCATCCTTTAGGAGTACATGGGATGAACAGCGGTTCTTTACCATGTATGGCCAAGTTTCCCATGCTCAGTGGATGGAATCCGTCCACATCTTTTTCTATGCTTACCATATTCAGTATCTTTTCCTTGTCCAAATGCTGTTCCGATCTATAGTCAGTTACCACAGTACAACCACAACTCATGAACAAAAAAAGTCAATCATCTAAAACTACTTGATACAAAGCTGCTTAGACTTCTCGTTGAGGCTCATCTAGAAGGTAGTCATCTGCTATTGGTCAGTAGAACTGGTACAAATAAAAAACACTGCCACCTTGTCAAGATCATTTGATTATCAAGAATACCCTGGGGTAAAAATGTTGGGTGAACAGGTACTTTCTCTCTAAATCAACTAGTTATTAGTAAATTGAATCCAGCGAGCAATTCTGAAGGAACAAAAATTAACACTAAAGAAGAGAAACGACAATAAACAAAATGTGGAGTAAATAAAAGAGAGAAGGAAAGAACTCAAATAACTTAGACTCTGAACAATGTATGATATCCAATCTAAGATATAAAAGACTAAACCTTGGATGACATTGAGAAAAACGGAACTCAGTGTTAAGAACAGTTGCATTGAATTAATAATACCAAATAGGTCAATGCATTACCTGTGGAAGAGGAAGTTGTACGAGAATACCATGCACTGATGGATCTTCATTAAAACTCGACAATTTATCGCAGATTTCCTCTTCTCTACAGTTTTCAGGCAGATGGTTCAATGCAAATTTGAATCCAACCTCTTCGCAAGCCATAATTTTGTTGCGCACATATGTAAGTGAATCTCTTCTTTGTCCCACCAGTATCACAGCCAAGCTAGGAATCTTCCCAGTGGATTCTTTCATTCGTCTTACTTCATTGGCTATTTCTATTCTAATTTCCACAGCCACAGACTTGCCATCAATTATTCTAGCAGTAGTGCTAGCTGCGGCGAAGAAAAAAAATTCTAATGAAAAAATCGCTATTTACCTTTATTACTTTATCTTTGCAATTAAAAGATCTGAAGTCGAATGAATCCTGCTTCAAATGTATTTACCCAAAACAAAAACTAAACACCACATCACTCAGAACGCAAATCAGGACCCCTTTGGTAAGAGTTATTTGGATGAAAACACGGAATTTTCGGGATTTTATTGAAGGAACAGTGTTTGATAATATACATTTGAGCTAAATAAGCAAGCCATGTTTGGAAGTTGGCTGCCTGCTGTTTTAAATGGCTGCTAGGTTTAGTAGTTTTGACTAGCTAGATGTGTTGGCAAATTGTAAAAAATATTTGGTAAAGTTGGTGTTTGTAAATATTGCTGTTTCTAGGTAAAACTAATTATATATATATGAACATATATATATATATATATATATATATATATATGCACACACACACACATACACATACACACACTTCATTTGTAAAAAATAAGAGCAATACTTGTTTTTTCAATTTTTTTTCTTAATATTTTAAATTACTATTTAATCAAATTCCTAGAAATTACTCTGTAATAATCTAAAAAAGTTTAACAAGACGAATCTAATAAGATAATGAAATGACAAGGCGTGCATGATGGGTTTTTTTATTCTTAAGATAGTTTTGGAAGGAAGAAGTGTTATCTATAAATTACACACACACACACAGATATGTGTGTGTGTGTGTGTGCTTTTATTTATTTATTTAAGGAGAAAATGATCAAAAGATATTCAATTTTCCCCTAACAACAAAGTCCAATAGCAACTCCCCCTAGTTTTTTAGATTTTGGCTTTTCAGACCAAACAGCCAATTGAAAAAGCTATTTTCCAAACACTGCTTTTAGCTTTTTGAACAGTCAAAAGGCTAAAAGCATCCGAAAATCCATTTTCCAAATACTGATGAGCACAAAAAGCTTAATATGGCTACAAAATAGAGCCCCAATCTATTTCAATTACTGCAATGGATATAAATAAGATCTTATCGCGTCAAACTATGAACAACCCAAGCTTAACATAAGATATTTCATTTCACTATTTCAGTAATAACTAATAACATTACTTTTAAGGGTAAAAAAGAAACAAATGTGATACGGCACTATAAAAGCAGTAAAACACTGAGAAGTAATTTTTTGATACAAAAGAGAAACATAATCAGGCGGGCATACTTGAGTTGCTTACCAGTACATTTTTGGGCAAGTGATGCATTGTCAGGATGACCAAAACCATGAGACATAGACCAGACATCAGGATGATCAAGAGAAACCAGAGGAGGAGACTTTAATATTCGGTAACCCAATGTACTAAGTGCCCTATACAGGGGAGGAACCAAAATGCTGGAGCTAGGCCATTTATGCCCTAAAAGAGCCTTACCACATACAATTATTTTTTCCACTCTCATTTTGTCACTTCAAGCCTTTCCAGATTCAAGTTTCCTTTGGCATTTATTGAACCTCCATGTGCTGTTAACACCACTTGTGGCTTGAGCTGGATATCATTTCCCTGGAATTAAATTTTTTTTCCCGGAAGAATGAAAACAATATACTATTCTTCTACATGAAAATATGAAAACATCTAAAAGAATAATGGTTATTGGGGAGTAGAATCCAAATAACAATAAACTACTCAGTCGGGGTATGAGGGTCTAGATTTACACATGATTACCCCTATACAACAGAGATATGGTTTTCGTTAGACCCTTGATGTTTTGCTTCATTTAATGCCAAAATTTCATAGGAAGTGTGGAGTAAGAAGCAAAGACAATTCAATGTTCCATTTTGATTTAGTCCATTATATAGGATTTACCTAAAGCTAAGAAATTCGTTTTTTTAAAAAAATCTTACTTGCTATAATTGGATTGGAATCCAAATGCCAATCCTTATCAGGCAAGACGATGACAGAAATTTACAGTACTGTAATATATATTTTTTACACAATGCTAAAAAAATAAACTAGAAATAGATGGACTCGGGAAGAGCTATAACTAATTTGCAGAGCGGTCGGGAATTTTGACGCACCTACGAATCCACAAGGAGGAAGAGGCCTGGGAAAGCGGTGTCCTGGTATCAGCTGGAGACAAGTTCCATCGGGTTTTCTTCCCGAATCCCGCTTGCTCTCTTTTACCGCACGACAGGGAGATTTGGGTTTCCAATGAACTCCCCTCAAAGCCGATTGCCAGCTCTAGAGCTCCAGCCGGAAACTATAGATCTCTCCATTGGAATTGGGGGCAGTGAGTAAATTGGGCGGATTTCAAGCTCGGTGTCGTTGCCATCCTTCACTACGCAGATTTCAAGACCGAAGCCGTAAAGAGGATTTCAAGCTCAGGATCGACGTTTGGTCCTCATTGCCTCCAAAGTGTATATGGTACATGATACATATTTTTTCTACTTATTACTTATTTTTATTAAAATCAGATTCAGATCAGATCCAATCAGATCAGACTTAATTAGATCAGATCAGACTCTATCAGATCAGATCAGATCAGATTCAATCAGATCAGACCAGATCTAATCAGATCAGATCAGACCAGATCCAATCAGATCAGATTAGACCAGATCAAATCCAATAACATCAAATCAAGAAAAAATATAAAAGATAATATTTATATTATTCAAGGATTAAATAATAATTAGTATTATTTGATTAAATCACATTACTTTATTTAAAACTACACACACCTAAATCTTAATTAATATTATAATTTTAAATATTATTGTTGTATTATTATTATTGTTGTTGTTGTTGTTGTTGTTGTTATTATATTTCAACTAGAAATCATTATTTTATATAATTGTTTAGCTTGTAGGATAGAAATCATGCATGGAAGCAATGTTAAAGCTTAAAAAGTTTTATTTTTCATACTTTAAAAAGAATTATTTTAAAATACTTGTTTATAAAATAATTATACAAAACTTAGTTTTGAAAACTATAAATATTTTGTACTTAAAAAGACTTACTTTTAAACTTTAAGATGGTATAATATACTCAAGGGTGGTTTATGACAAAATTGATAGAGGTGAAAGAGATATTAGTGTTTAAAATTTTATATGATCTTTAATTTGTAACATGAAATATATTATTATGTAATATATATATATAGAATGTGATAATTTTGTACAATAGCATCAATATTTCTAATATTTGTTTATTTTAATACCGATCATTTAGTTTTCACAAAAATTAAAAAAGTTGTGATATTAAAAAGATGTTTAATATTTTTAAAAAAAGTTTAAACATATTAATGATTAGCTAATTTTCTTATTTTACTTTTTTTATGTATATATGAATTGTAATACTTTTAAAATATTAAATTTTGTAATAATTTTAAGTTTAATTTAAATCAAATTTAAATTCATTTACACCAGATCTAATCAGATCAGATCAGATCCAATCAGATCAGATCAGATTCAACCAGATCAGATCTAATCAGATCAGATCAGATCCAATCAGATCAGATCAGACCCAATCAGATCAGATGAGAACTTCAAAAATTCAGATCAGATTCAATCAGATCAGGCGTATGGAACAGAGCCTTAGTACTCCCTCCGTCCCACAAAGTCCGACACGTTTCGAAAAAACTGCGTCCCGTAAAGTCTGTTACATTTCTATTAATCTACCCATCACATCCTCCTTTTACTTTCGAGAACTTTACCCCTTACTTTTTCATACCCTACCTATCACATCATACCTTTTTCCTAATAATCTACCCATCACATCCTCCTTTTACCCATCACATCAAGGGTATTTTTGGAAAGTCAACACCAAAATATCCCTCCCTTAATTTCCTAAAAAGTCAATATGTACCAATTTTTTTGGAACGGGGGGAGTACTTGATTTAACCAATCACTATACGATAATAATGTCATCCCTTATTTTCAACCATTATTATTTTATCCTCACGCCATCCTGAGTCATTCTCCGTAGAGATAAACTCGATAAGACTTTTCCTGTCTGAGTCTGGGTCCGAGCGCCCTTCTCTTCCGATTCAGAATTTGTTTCGTGGCCATTCCTAGTCTGGGTATAAATACTCTAATGTATTATAAATGATTCTAAGTAATCTAACGTCGGAACGAGTCTAGGTTACAGACCTTATAGTTCGTAGGGGAACACAATGATCTTAACACCTCACGTACGGTCAACGAACGAACGTCACTATCTACTTCTAGCTTTCCTTGTTTTGAGATCTTCTCTTTGAATCTTGGTATCGCAGACGTATATGGCGTGAGAAGAGCATCAACATGAGTATAATAATGATAGAAATGGGGCATGACCACTTACTTAGTTATAGCTCTTCAAACCTTTATTAATGGTGGATGAAGAAGCTTGGGAAGAAGATGACCAATATATGCTAAGTGTGGGAATGAAGGAGTGAAGGGAGGGGGTATCCCTTTATTAAAAAATGAGGGATTAAAGAAGAGGGAGAAGGTATGGTGATGGTGGATGTTGGAGGGTGTTCCAACATGATGATGTGGTGATGGAAAGAAGATTATGGTGGGGAATGATGGGGAATCCTCGGAATAATTGGGGGGAATGAATGTGGGATTTGAGATTAAATCTCTATCCCGGAAATAATAGTTTATCTGTTTAAATTTCGAGTTGTTTCCCAAACGACTCCAATTTCGAAATCGATCGCATTTTTTATCTTGGAAAAATAAATGGAACGCAACAATGTATTCAAAATATTTTTCAAGCCGCCGGGGCCAACACGGTCAAAATCGGCGATTTACGTAGTTAATTCTTCTAGCCTGGTTTTCGTGGCGTTACACTTACTATCTTACCACTATTTCCATTAAGTACTTCGTCAATTATGAATTTATATTTTTTGTTCGATTCATTTATTTTGGTTAAGTATTTATTCTTTAGACAATAGTTTTTTTTACGTATTCGACATTGTTCAACATTATGAATTTCAATATTTACTTTCACATTCCTTTTATAATCATTTGAATATTTTATTCACAATTTTAGATACTTGACAATGTTCTGAAACCGAATTGGGCGTCGAACTAGCAATTGAGTCAAGGGTCAATCGGTCAAACTGGATTGACTAAGGCAACACCCCGTTGATTGGTATAAAATATTCATATTTATGTTTAAATAAAAACATTTTCCATGTTTTTTGAACTACTTTTAAATATAATAAAATATTATCACATAACATAAGTATGCCTATAATTCTAAATAATACGGAGTACAAAATTTGTTTAAAGAAAAAAATATAAAAAATTACATTTAGATATAGATTATTTTTTAAAAAAATTAGAACGCAACTTGTATTAAGAAACAATACATATTATGTAGAGTAATTTACCTAAATAGGACTAAAACATAATGACTTTCCCAATATAGGATCATATGTTTTTATTTCCCAATGTAGGAGTTTCGGTCATTATTAATTAGTCATTATTCAAGTAAATGTCCATCATTACTGGACATTATTCCTCCACTAAGACATTATTGAGTCCTATTTAGGGAATAAAAAAGTTTAAGTCCTAAATTAAGAAAGTCATTATGTTTTAGTCCTATTTAGGTCAAATTTCACTATTTTATGTACTGCTTACAAATACCAAGTATTTAATTTAGCTAGATGGCTACAACTTTGAATTTTAAGGTTGGAGGTGTTGTGTTTAAATCCTTCTACCCCATCTTACAATTTTGTTTTCGGGTTTGAACACATTGATATTGGGTCAGATTTGGATATTTGGTCGATTTCAGATGTATAATTGGATCCAGATATATCCTAAATTGGAAATTATCCGCTGGTTACGGATTCAAATATAGAAATGTATATATCCGTTGGATACGGATACAAATTTGGATATCTCAAAACTTAATCGGGTTCGGTTTTAGATATGCCATATCCGTCGTGGACATTATCCGTTTACAGCCTTAATTGGAGCTATAGAGGTGCTGACAGTTAATACCCCTAAGTTAATTTTATTTTCAGATATCGCAATTCGCAAATGCTCTAAATGAAGGTTTTAATATCTCCTAATTTTGAAAATTACTAGTATTTTAACTCGTGTCATGCACGGGGTAAAACGATTTTTTTTATTTTATATTTTTTATGCGCATATCATTTTTAAATATCAAACAAAATAAAATATCAACACTAAAAGCTAGAATAATGATAAGACATATAACATTTGTTAATGAAATTTTTGCATAATGCATTTGAAATTTAAATGTCAAAGTCTTTTTATAAACTTAAACATTTCAAAAAATTCGAGGCATACACTAATTTTGTGATGTTATAAAGATTTTCAAAGACACTTAAAACTAATATTTTTAACTCTACTTTTACTCTCACTCGCAAAAGAATTATATAAAATTAATCATAAGTGAATAGCGACTAGATAAAAAATCTCATAAATGACAATGTTTTGAAACTTAATGGACAATATTGAATGAAATGATAGATAATTCATTTAATTTAGTTCACTTAATTTAGTTCTTTTAAATGTTCTCTACGACTTTGTTTTCTAATACTACAATTGTGCCGAAGATATTTTTTCGTAACTCTATAATGATTAAATTGATGCTATTATATATATACAATTATGATGATTGAATATAATAATGTTTCTCAATAGCATAATGAGTACAACATTTTTCAAATTAAAATTAATTTGTGGTTTAAGATTCACGAATTGTTATACAATCACCATTGATGGACAAAGGATATTATTCCCCGCATATTAGTTTAGATTATCAAAGAAATTGATTCACTGTCCAGCATTAATATGATTCTCTTCTCTCATATTGATTTTTAAAAAAATATGAATATTCTTTCCTGAATTAATTGAAAAAATAAAAAAATGTGATCATATGATTATTCGATCTTCTTTGAATTATTTAAAAAATTGGATTACCAAAACCTTATCATTTAGAGAATATGATTCTCCTATAACACATCACTTCATTAATTTAGAATAGAAAAATGAGAAATTTACTTAAATAGTACTAAAATATAATGACTTTCTCTAAATAGAATCACATGTGTTTTTTCCCCAATATAGCACTAAAATATAATGACTTTCTCTAAATAGAATCACATGTGTTTTTTCCCCAGTATAGCACTTTTAGTCATTATGCATTAGTCATTATTCAAGTAAATATTCGTCATCACTGGACATTATTAAGTGATATTTAGAGAATAAAACAATTTAAGTGCTATTTACGAAAATGACTTAAGTTTTAGTGCTATTTAGTGCAAATATTTCTAGAGAATTAAATAATATTATTCATCTTTCATGCATTAGTATGATTCTTCTTTCTCTCATTGATTAAATAATATCATTCCTTTCTCCCCACAAAATTAAAAATA